GTAGACATCTCAGTTCTGCATGAGGTACTGATGAAAGTAGATCCCAAACAGAGAGCTGATCACCTGGCAGGCAGATACCCACCAGGTGAGAAAGGCGAACAAACCACGAAAGAACAGGGGAGTCAGGACGGCCCGCAGTGCTGTGAACGTCTCCGACAGACGAGCTACTGTAGCCTGGATGTCTTCTTCCATGTCATCCACCCCGTCTTCATCTTCATCCAGACCACCAGGCAGCACAGGGGCTGCAGTGGGCATCACTAGTGCTGGTGTCACCCCGGGGGTCTCCTCAGCGACCGCACCCCAGGAGAAGTCCCCTGTAAGGAATCACAGCATGTGCAGCTCCATAAAAACAACATGTGCTGTGGTTTTAGCTTCTGAACTTGTCCTACTGCAGTAGCAGCTTCCTATGAAACGACTCAGTGAGGTATGGAGCTTTCATGTTAATCTAGATGAAGAAACTAAGTAAAATGTAAAAATAAATAAATAAAAATCTTTTGGGTTTACATTAAGAGAGGCTGGCGGACACGTCCAATTAAACCTTTTACTCACCAAGAGCCTTGAGGGACAGACTGGAGAAGAGGATGAGGAAAATCGGAACCAGATACTGAAGAGTAACGACAGTCAGGTAGCAGAACACACGCGTAACCTAAAGATCAAATAATATTAGCTTCTGCTAAAAATCGTTGATAAAGGGCAATAAAAATTAAAAGTACAACCCCCCCCCCCCCCCCACACACACACACACACAATTTCTCTTGTTTAGTTATGCAATTTATTGGTTTGCAGTTTTATTATAGAAAAGAAAAAATGGTGTAAGACAGCTGTCAAATGATGCGCAGGATTCTAGCCGTTTGTTTTTGTATTTGTCAATAAAAGTGTTGAACACAAGATTTTGTTGTCGTCACGTCAACGTGTGTTTCCAGTATTTATAATAAAATTTTACTATTTGGAATTACATACAGTTGTACTTTCTAGAGGCCGACCGAAATATTCTATTTTATCTTTATCGGCCGAAATTATTTTTAAAAGCTGATAAAAATAAATAAATAAAACATCAGGCATCTGTGTGGCCAACTGTCACCACTACTACACAAAACTATTTAAAAATCGGTATCGGCCTTAAAAAACCCATATTGGTGGTCTCTAGTATTTACTGCTATTGCACTGAGTAAACAATGTAACCGGTGATGCTAAGTTGGTACTTGCGTTAATTAGGACTCCCAATTCCTTCACAATGATTCATATTCACATAAAAATAATCCTAATCCGCAGTTTCTCAAGAGTCGTGTTTATGACAGCAGAATTTTGAGTTCATCTCTTGGGATGAGTACCGAATTCGGTACTTTTTAAGGTACCAACCGAGCACCGATTCACGTCATTTCAAACGGTGCCTCATTTCGGTACCCGTCCTTCATGACGAGAACTTGCCTAGACAGCTGCGCATGCGCAAGAGCGTTATGTCATCGGTCGCTGCGAGCGAGTTGTAAACAGAGCAGCATGGTAGAAAGAACGCCCGCTAAAGCATGGGTCCACTTCACTAAATGTGATGGGTAACTGGGTGATGATGAAACCAGCGACAACGATCTAAGTGAGACATCCTCATCTTAATCTGCTCCGGTAGGTAAATAAAATGTAAGATAACGGTAGCTTGATATGTTAGCTTCCGTTTCGCTAATGGTGTGTTCGCTTTCTCCTCAGAACTCCGAATTTCAGACTAGAAGAACATGAACGCGCTCTAAAGTTTGGCTTCACTTTACTAAATGCGACGGGTGATTGGGTGAAGATGAAACCAGTGACAACGATCTAAGTGTGAGGCATCATCGTTTTAATCTGCTCCAGCAGCTAAATAAACTGTTTAAGATATCGTTAGCTTGATATGTTAGCTTCCATTGCTACCATTGTTATCATCTAATGGTGCGTTCGCTTTCTCCTCGAAAATTCTAGCTTCCCAGTAGGAAAAATCAAATGAAAAAGGACGGTAAAAGGAATGAAGATACACAGTAAATTTAGTTCACAGTAAAGATGTTTGCTTCAGTTTAATTATCAGCTTATAAAACTACAAGGACGATGTTAATACAAACAGTTGTATGTTATTTATTGTGATATTTATCATGATATTTATCAAATATTGTTATATATTGAGAAAAATATATATTTAATTATAAAAGAGAATTAAAATATTAAACACTCAAAAGTATCGAAAATTGGTACCGTTAAGTACCGGTATCGATTCGTAGGTACCGGGTATTAGTACCGGATCGATTCAAATGTCAAAGGTACCCATCCTTAATCTCTTCATAGCCGTCTTGCACCAAAAGAAACACGTAGAAGCGCCTGACCTTCCTCTGGATGTCGATGGCAGCGATTCGTCCGGCCTCCTTCTTCATCTGCTCCACCCACTTCTGAGATAAGTTGAGGTAGGCCTGCATGTGGACACGGGTCAGCACCAGCCGCAGCACACAAGACACCACAATGATCCACAGACGCAGGCTGTCAAATGCTGCACTGGACACTCTGCAAAAGAAAGGTTTAAAGCACCGGCCTGTTGTTAGATCCAGACTGTAGTTTTATTTAAACAATAAAAATACATGACAGGTGTGCAAACACCCACAATGTGACCGAAGTCTTTCCCATGGGCGCGTTGGCCAGGAAGTCTCTAGCAATGGGCTTCACCCAGAGGACCAACACCAGGATGGGGGATAAGAAACTCAAGTGCAGCAAAATCCTGTCGGGAGAATATTCAAACATGACGAAGGGACCTAAACATGGATACAACGCTCGTCACATGGGTTGGTGACTCTTACTGTATGAGCGGACGACCTGAGTTCATCTGTACAGCATCTAGATGAGTCTGAGCCAACCGGAGTCCAGGAAAGGCCAGGAGGGCACCGATGTAAGCGCAGACAGCCGCTAGGCTTAGCTTCACAGTCAGCTTCGTCACCGGGATTCTGTTTAAAAAAAGAATTCAGCAATTAAAGAATTCAGTGGAGACGCGTCTCGGAGAAACCACGTTTTAACACGGAGCATTCCTACAGTTTTCAGCTTCAAGTTGTTAAAACCCGATACTTACGACCACTCAGCGTAGCCCTGCCGCTTGGCAAAGATTTCCAAATTGTCAAACAGGCTGGAAAAACCGGACTCAAGTCCAAATTCCAGGTAGTCCTCTCTGACCACTAGTACCAGCATGGCCACCAGGAGAGACAGAAAGCCAAAGGCAAGGCACACCGAGCGCTCACCACCCTCCTCAGAGCGGAAGTAGTGGCTCATCAGGGTGTGAAGCGTCTTTCTGAAGGTTAGAGGTTAAAGAGAATAAACAAAGAAAAGACTGAAGTCCTGAACACAATCAGACAGAAGGTTTGACTCAGAGCTGCCCCAGTTCCTGCCAGAGAATGCTGCTGTTGTGTCCCTGGGCAAGGCACTTAACCCAGTGCATTTAACTCAGTGCTGTGAATGCTTGCAGACGTGTGTACCGAGTTATTCTCTAGCCGAAGGATACAGGCCAAAGAGGACAGTCAGGACGCACCAGATGGCTCCGATGTTGACCTCCTTGCTGGCATCTACCACACTGTAGTAGCACTCAGTGAACAGGAAGATGCCCATCGCATAGACCGCAAAATCTACAAGCCACTGGTACTCCAGGAAAAAACGCAGCACTAAGGATGGGAAATTTAAAAAATAATAAGTGCATATCAAATAAAGACAGTATAAAGTATCTGATATTAAATTATTATGTAGAAAAATACTTTTTTTTTCCTCACCAAGGGCATCGATCACATTGATCGGAGCTTTCTCCAATTGCAGGTCAATGTCTTTGGGCACAGTGAGAGGTTTGTTCTCCCCATTCTGTCTTCTACACACAAACATTAAAGGAGCCAAACATGCATTTAAACTTATATGGGAGAGATTTAAAGATAAATGGTGGACAATTAAAACAGATGACAAATGCTTAATAGCCTACTTTGTGTGTTCTTGCCAACTAATTATAATATAAAAAAGGTACAGCTCACCTGTCTCTCCTGTTTTGTTTAGGAATGTGTTTTCCTGCCAGTGCACACAGCTCTCCTTCTGAGGGGTGTTTGAATCTGTACAAACTGGAAACAATACAACCAGATACACCATATCAGCACACTGCAGAACACACAACTTCAAAGTTTGTTTTTCTATTGACAAACTTAACAAGTACAAAAATATGGCACGTACCAGAACAGGCCGCTATTCAGTATAAGGAATAATCAATCAGAAAATAATAAATTGAAACAGGTACATACACAAATTTAAAGATTAGTTACCATAAATAAATAAATGATACAATAGCTAAATATGATATACATCTTAGGGGTTTTCAAAGAGATTCAAGTCATTAATTTTATGGAGCAATCCCACAGCTTGTTTTTGTCTATAAACTGGAAAACTTCTAAGTTCATGGCTGTAATTACCTCCCGTTGCAGAGGAGCCAGCGTGCAAAGGAGCAGTGTGGAGCCATTCTCTGCATGACGCTGGCAGCCAGCAGGCTGACTACCAGCTGGATCCCCATCAGCGCCTGTCCGAGCAACAAAATACATTTTAACTCCTTATCGTTCGTTGTTTTAGCATAGCTAATGGGTTCACACTGAGAAAATACAGAGAATTTAGATAGAAGTTCAAAAAAATGAACACGTGGCGGGTTCAACCCCACAACCGAATGAAAGAAACTTAGCAGATAGTTTTACTGCTAAATTTAGACAAGACCCGACCACCTGCCAGCCTCTTATAAGCGTTAGCCAGTTAGCATTAGCATACGCAAAGTCGCTTCAGCGGCTCCTTGTAGCACGATAAGAAAAAACTATACCGTGTTGTTTGGAAGGGAGGTTACACGGTTTTGTGCCCGTGTGCGTTAACTTACCATCTTCTGTATCAAAAGATACAGCTAAGCCCGAAGCAGCTCCTCTTGAACATGCAGAAAAAGTCATTGACAGCTGAAATAAATGGCATGTGAAACTACCGACTAACCCGGATGTAGTTGTGGGGGTCTCGTGTTGCCTTTATGTACTCAACTAAAGTTAAGTAAAGTCTAGTATCGAACTGCTGGGCACGTGTTGAAGTTCGGAGTTGAAACTGCCAGTTGAGGTTTGACTTTATGATAAGCAGTGTTGGGAGTAATGCGGTACAAAAGTAATTAATTACTGTAATGCATTGCTTTTTGCTGTAATGTGGTAATGTAAGGCATTACAGGGAAAGAAAATGGTAATATTTACTCGGTACAATTGTCAGTAACGCGGTAATTACAATGCATTTTTAAACCCAGAATCAAGATGTGTTCCTTAAAAATTCAAATTGCGGGAAACCCGAAGAAAGATCCAGTATCTGCATATATTACGTCATTTATGGACTCAGCTTTGTGGGCAGAGAGGACGCAGCGGTAACGGCTCAACTACACCAGCTGCGTCCTGCACGCGGCCGCTGCAACATTCACAAAATCGCTCCACTAACACAAAATAATTCACTTGCGATCGTTCATATCGGCGCATATTCTCTGGTATTTTGTGCTTTTCTGACGTGCTTTGCCTCAGCTGAGTTCATAATCTGGGCCCCGGTGATTTCAACTCATTACTGCTGGAGCGCTGCACATGTGAAGATCCCTTTGGCTGATTAGTTAGAAAGTAGGAAGTCTAGGAAACCAACACGGAAACAGTTTTTTCTGGAAGACGGAGAAAACATGCAGCATGCAGGAAGGTTAGAGAGAGAAAGGGCAGGAAATTATTCAAATAAAATCAAGAAAACAAAACAAAGTGCTTGAAAAGAAAAAAAGTACGAAGATTTATCCCCAATACACATTTTTACCAGTGAAAAGCAATAATATACATAAGCATTTAATATTTATACATGTGATAGAATCAGATCACCCCAGAAGTCAGTCCCACATCCAGGGCCGTATCAAGGCATTTGGGGACCAAGGCAAATAGACTTGGAGCCCCCACCCCCTCACTCCCTGATCAGTTAATATAAGATGGCAGCGTGTTGAGAGTAAAGATTGTTGTTGCTTTTATGTAATAAACAGTCATTTTAAAGCACTGTTATTATATCTGACTGCTTTTGACAGCAGTCCTAGTTCAGACACCACATCACTTTCCACATATATGTCATGAGCTCACCGAACGTCACATTACCAGATTCATACTGAAGTTGTATCTGTGAAAGTAACTTAAAGTAATGCAAAAGTAGTGTAATGTCTAACATTTTAAAATCAGTAATATTGTAATGTACTGAATTACTTTAAAATGAGGGTAACAAGTAATAAATAATGCATTACAGTTTTGAAGTAACTTGCCCAACACTGATGATAAGCATTTGTTTTTTATGCACTGAAGTAGAAACATTAGAATGGCCAGTGGCCACACACACCGCGCAATGATATGCTGCGAGACGGAGTCCGCCATCTTGGTCAGATCTACTAGCAGTTCCTGCCAGAAAATCAGGAAAAGTTGGGGATGAACTCAAACTCAGCCGAGATGCTCGAAGTTTTACCATTAACTACTATAATTTTTAGAACCTGCACTTCAAATATTTTTTTATTTAAACATAATGTTATACGGAGGAATAACCACTTGAGATGAAACATCTCGTTTTCGAGTGCGCCCTCTTTTACAGCTAAAAGAAGAACACAAATTAAGAGCAAGACAGCAGAGCAAAAATCTAAATCAAAACATTACAACAATCATTTACAGACACATACACACACCCTCAAAGGCTCACAATACTTCACCCCACCCGACACGACCCCAACTAACAAGGAAAAAACAAAAGCAACAGCCAGTTGAACAAATACAATTAGTAACATAGACAATCATTCCGAAGATGATCGACCAGAGCCCTTCGAAAAGTTGTGAATGATGATAAAGAACGAATAGATAAAGGAAGATTATTCCAATCACATGGAGCCTTAAAACCAAAAGCATGTTACCTCTTTTCACTCTAGGAACAACAAAAAAGATCTGGTCATTGTCCCGCAGGCTGTAAAGTGAATTATAGGGAATTAAGTGTATTTTAAGATTATCCGGATAATTAAAGTAAAAAGTTTTAAAAATGAACTGAAACCAGTGAAACTGTCTCCTGACAGCAGGAACAAACCAGGACAACTGTCGATAATAATGAAACTTCATTTCATTTGTAGAAGGATTTTTACACAGTTTTAGTTCTGTTTAGTCAAGATTGTGGTCACAACTGATTAATGACTGCTTAGATAATCATGAATATTCCAACTAGCTAAATTAAAACACTTACTGTAAGTGCCTTTCTTAAATGTGATATGAACTGCCGAACTAAAGATGGTAAAATGGTAAATGGCCTGTCTTTGATATAGCGCCTTCTAGAGTCCTGGAAATCACTAAAGATGATAAAAAGCTTTTGACCATATATTAGCAGAAACAAAACATGTACTTCAAACAGCTCCAATGAGAATGAAAAACACTTTTATAACAAATTGTGTCAAACCATTTGGTAATGAAATAAGAACCAGGCTGCTGCTACTGAACAATAGAAGAGACGTGCATTGGGCAGCAGTCTTCTGGTGAATTTGGTGGAAATGAGCATGGAAACGCGAGGACAGTTGGACAATCTATGGTGATCTTCAGGATTACTTATTTTATCATATTTATTGTTTTACTTCCAGGCTCTGTGGGAAAACCAAAAATTTGTTGTAAAGAAAGAGTGACAACATGAGAAAGCAACATTTTACATCAAGTGATGGGTCTGCAGAAAGAAATGAGGCAAATTAATTGGATGCCTTCCAGGAAATACTTTCGGTTAATATGGCTGATCCGTTAAACCAAGCCACTTCCAAATGGGATGAGTTACATCTGATCTGTGTCCATCTTTTCTGGTTTTTAATGTGTATTTTACCTTTCAGATTCCATTCCATTTATTTGATAAAGCACAGCATGTGAGCTGACCAGTGTTGTACAGGGGTAAAAAACACACAAGGTTAAAAGAATAATACAAAAGAATAAAACAGCTAGAGCTGTTGAAGAAAATACAGATGAAGAAAATGTAAACAGTTTGAAATAATTGATTATGCGTGAACATGCATCCTCCATGTTGGGTGCACCACCTGACAGCAGGTAACAAAAACACCTATCTATGAAATCTTGGCCAGAGAATTTCCTGAGCCAACAATGGCATGTCTTACAGGAGAACATGACAATTAAATTAGATTTTCGTTTAACAGGAGAAATCCGTGATGGAATTAATGAGTCAACGGTCAATGTTGGCCAATAAATAAGGTATTTGTAAATCAGTTTGGATATATTTATGAAGTATTCATGAGTATTCTAATCAACACAATACCACCTTGTGTACTCTGCACAACATCATAAATGCATTCCTAAGTTTCTTTGCATTTTATGGGTAAAATCTAGGCTGAAGACCAAAGGTGAAAGATCATTTGCTATTGTGGCCCCCAGACTCTGGACCCCCCCCCCCCCCCCCCCCCCCCCCCCCGTGAGATCAATGGACTCGGTGGTCTCCTTTAAAAAGCAGTTGATTCACCTGTTCAAGCTGGATTTGGTGTAACCTTCATCACCACCCTCCCCTTATTCTGCTCTTACTCCACCTTTCATTGATATCCCTCTTTCCCATTCATTTTCTCTCTCCCTTTCCTTACATTTTTTTCTTTTCTACTTTTAAACATATTTTTTTATCATTTTTGAAATCGTTTTATACTTTAATTGTTTTTGTTTTTGTGAAGCGCCTCGCGCATTTTATCTTGAAAGGCACTATGTAAAAGATCTTCTTCATCTTCTTCTTCTTGTTATTATTATTATTATTATTATTATTCATCTGAAGTCCTTGTTGACCATTGCCTCCATCAGCTGTGGGCACAGCTGCTTGGTCCAAATCCTCCATCAGCAACTCTGGCCAGCTTTGCTGTCTCAGGTTGTGCAGCACAGCTGTAGCTATGATGACCTTGCTGATTCTCTCTGGGCTGAAAAGAAGTGTTTCTTAAACATTGGAAACAATTTTCCACACTCCAAGCACATGCTAAACCAACCTCTGGAGCAAATACATGCTCTGTTATGTGCTCAGTGCTCTGGATTCAGGTAGTCAATAAAAAAAGTCACTCTCATAACCCAAAAGTTATCAGTGTAATTCAGTAGGCCGCTCCTATCAGCAGTGACTCTTCTTGCTGCCTATCTGTGCTTATTCAGATCATTCCATTAGCCCATCCTTTGTCATAAACTTTGCTGATCAGTTATTAAATCTACATCCTCTGAGGATTCACCTGAGCTTCGATCTAGTCCTAGAGCAGCTATTATTTTCATTTTTAGCTCAAATTAACTTATGAGTCTGTCTTTAGGCTTGAGCCCATCTGTGAAACTGGCCTGCAGTGTACATACACAGGAAGGTGCTGTCATTGGTGTCAATGACCCTTCTTTTATACTCATATTTAGTGTTGTATTAAAGACAGTATTTGTTGTATTTAGTTGTTGAAGAAGCTAGAAACTAGTTTGCAGACCTCGATTTACATCTGTTTTACCGTCAGCCATCCCAGCCCCCAGAGGTTCATGGAAATGAATCGCTTTCTAAATCCTGTTTTCTGTTATCATCTTCACTTTTCAGAATACAAACAAATTACATTTGTCCTTTATTTGTTTAGAATGTTTTGGTTCAAGGCTTGTATCGTCTCCCAAAACTGACCCATTAGACTAAACATTGGGAGGCTCATTACAGCTTGTTCTTCTCCTTCAATTTTACATCAAATATGTGTATTTGATTTGATTTTGAACAAATGGTGCATCAAAAAGCACAATGCAAGGCATTAAGAATATAAGTGCCTTATTCATCCAACCAGTGAAGATTAGCACTGGTCAAGATGGGGGTCAAGTGAGCTGGGAGCTTTTCCAGTGTGTACATGTGTTGGTAAATGCACATAGTGTGTTCTACACAGGTAAACAACACTAGCCTAGTGAACTAGACCAAAGTCTTGCTTATATAGTCTGACTTGCCAGGCTAAAACAACACAGCT